GCTACCACTGCGCTACAGTATTGCTACCACAGCGATACAGTGACGCAAACCACTGCGACACAGCGGTGTTATCCACCTGTACATAAATTGTCAACCAGTACAGGATTGAATTACCCATATACCGATATTATGTGCCTGCGCCGTTATTTTTCACAATGGTACAAATAGCGACCATCAGAATCTGTTAAGATATGATTGGAGTAATGAAGTATGTAACTGGAATTTAAGAGTAATAATTTTATAAGAGTATATTAAGTAAATATACACCTACCTATCAACATTGCTATCTTCTACCAGGCCTCGAGAGGAAATTTCAGTTCTTAATAAAATTGTACATTTTACCAGAGCTTTCTAAACAAATATTATCAGGATGAAAATTTTATGTTCGCCTTAATAATGTCCTCCGGGTTTATGCGTCATTAGTGCAGTAAATATAGCTTCAAACACATTTCTATATTGAAATTCGTAATAATATAAAATATTTAAATTCATGATAATATATGTTTTCAGTTTGTGGTTTCTTCCTGAATGCCTCAAATATTCAAGTCGCAACATGTTTGCAATAAATTATTCGTCAATTAACGTCACATTTACAGTAAATTATTCAAATGTAAAATATTCACTAATTCTGCCCTGCAATGCGAACACAAATTATAGATTGGTAACACTACTATATATAAAGCTTCATGATTATAAAAACTCACTGTCTATACTTGGGGCGACTGCTGATATAAAACTCCGGACTTTGAACGCCAAAAAATGTGAACCTTTCTCTTAAATATAGTGTACATATCTTTCCGATTACTTCACTCAGTTTTTAAAACTGAACAATGATTGGTTAACTTTTTTCCGATGCTGCAAACCACGTCTCAGTCGAGTATTTGGACGCAAGAGAATGGATGCTATAAATTACCCAGCTTATGCTCATCAAAGTTCGCTCCTCAGGGCCAAAAATTTAGTGCTTTCGAAAGTGTACATAAAAAAGTTTCCAAGCATACCGAATTTAAGATTCAAGCACGGAGAAAAAATTCATTGAATTTACATTAAACTCGAGCTGTTACTTGATAAAACGGTGAATAAGGACGGTGAACTAAAAAATGATTGAGGGCCTGTGGTTGACTAATAATCGATACTTCGGCTCCAATTTTAACTGTATATTTAAAATCGTTCCCTGAGGCAGTAATGCTGACTCAGCAATGCTGCAACAGGCTACGTAATATAACCCATCTCAGTTACATATGCTACATGTATAAGAGGCCAAAGTCAATTTATTTAGCCTATAATACCGTTAGCATTTCTTTTCTCATGTAACAAGCAAGCTTCAAACCTAGATCAAAAATCATTAAAACGACTATGACTTGAGTTTAATAATTTATCACATATTCTTTGAGAAACTAATTACAATAATATATTCAGAGTCACTATCGTAATGGTATCTTAGCTTCCATACATTGAATAATTCTTTAATCCTCAAAATAAATCCTACCAATGAAACTAACCATAATTAAGGTAGGTTGTGGGTAGTGGTAGTAGATATATAAAATAATTACCATAAGGGGGAGGCGAACAAATTAATCATGACCGGCGGACGTATACACGTAATGCAACAAGCTTGATAGTCTGATGCAAGTTATGTCGGTAACATCATTAATTCATTTAAATAATGAGTTTATGTTCATTAATGTATTGGAGATTGCATTCTAGAATATCAATACGATGATACATATGAATGCTTGCATAATTAGCTATAATATAAAATTTTAGGATCGTGAGTTCAAATAGCATTCATTGGATAAGAGAGTTACTGAAATCAAGTTTCGGTATTGGAAAAATTTTCACAACAGCATTCAATTGTTCATTTGTATTCATTAAGCGTCAGTTTACTCACAAACACATCCGTCTTTCATGCCTAGCATCTCTATCAATAGTTTGTGTAATTCTTAACTATTCATCATGACTGAGACGTGATTAATGAACGCTTTCTTTCTCAAGCCACGCGCTGCGTTCACTGAAGCGCAGTCGACGCGCGTGTTATAAATCAAAGAAAGCATCCATACAGCAAATACACATCGACTGAAAGTAATCCAATTCAGTGATGGAACATGAGAAGGAAAAAGAGAGTATTTTCATTTGTTTTTTCTTTATATAAAAGCTACGTTTGTTGTTCTTTACATAAAACACTTCAAATATATAATATAAAGTTTAGGATCCGGCCTTCCTAATGAATAGTATAATAAAGAAAATATAACTCGGTTCTCACTGCAGCTAGTGAGTGAAAGGAAAGAGAGCACATTTTCTCGTCCGTCCGTCCGTGAAGTCACAGACAGACAGCCGGACAGACAGACGGACGGACGGACGGAAATGACGAGCAAAAGTCTAACGATATTTAGTATGTGATGCGTTCTCTAAATTGAAAATTAGATGAAGTGAATATTCATTGATATGTCATGATTTAAAACATTAATTTAAAACGATTTGGTTTGCATCAAATCTAAACAAATATTCAAAAACATGAATTTTACAGAGGCTGCTAAAGCGAATCATCTCAATTAAAATCTGATGCCATTAGTAAATAGATTGCAAACGATTGTTAAGCATCTAAGTATTATTTTCCAGCCGTGAGCTGAAAGTAATCCAACGACCTTATATAACCATAATTCTATGATAATCTATGCATTGTATTCTATAACGTTCGTTGCTGCGATTCCTAATCAATAGTTTAGAAGATAGACAATAATTTTGATGATATTGATAGAGTTCCAAGACAATTAGTTGTTATCGGCGTAAGTCAAAGCGATTCTATTAATCACATGTTGTATATATTACATATACTGGCTATCGAGTCATTTCAATTTGGTGCATTTAAATCCGTTTTCTGGTGTAANATTAGAGGAAATTTTTTGGTTTGCTGAGTCATGTAGCGCCATAAAATCCATATTCATTTCGGTGTTTATACCACAAATTAATCTCAAATCACCTTATTGAGCTTTTTATTTGTAATATACATTCCCACCTGGCACATGACGTAGAATTAACGTTCTGTTTACGATAATTCAATGATAAAAATGTCTGGTACATATGTTGGTTCTCTCGACCTAATGACATGGCATTTATGCTTGATTTTACGAGAACTTATTTTAATTTAGCATGGGTATCAATTTAAATGGTTAATTACTTAACACTGATTTAATATGAATTAATTAATAATTCAATTAATTTAGAATGTTTTCACTAGGACATCGCGTAAGTACTATCTCAATAATTCCTACTCATTACGTCAGAAGCATTTGCTACAACCGTGAATCATTTGTTTAAAAAAAGTTTTTCGATAATGTAATTCCAGATGAAATCAAATTGAAACAGCTATAAAAATTCTCGACTTTGTCCTTCTGTTCCTTACCTGCAACAATGAAAATCATTCGAGAATTATCCTATTATAGATTATTTGTGTTTTAGAACGAATTAAGCTCATGCAATGCTTAAAAACGGGCATCGAATTTAACGTCTAATTATTAAAAAGAATAATGGCAAACAAGTGAAACAAGGTACAATATTGGCTTAAAAATTATGCTATTAGCTTAAAAATTATATTTGGACATGATTGCAGTTATTAAATTGAGACCCTAGATACGAAACATAGAGCTCATATATTATAATAATAATAATAATCATTTACTTTTCTACCATAGGAAACATTACCTCTGCATCAAAATAAAATAATTCGATAATTCATTTTAAAAGTTCAGGGAAAGGGGAAGCTCGTTGGCATGAGGTTTTGAATCTCTGATTCTTTTTGATTTTTTAATTCGCTGAAGTGAAAAATGTGACTCGAATATTTTGGGACATTCTCCAGATGCGCCGTTGTTTGAAAGTTCAATATGAGAATAATACTCCATGAAATTATAACGATTAAAATTCTGATGCACTCGATTCGAAAGCAGTTCATTCAAATCTTCATACATATTTGGGCTGCTTCATACATTTTTGGGGTGAGTGGTTAAAATAATAATTGGTTTGCTGAGAGATTGTTTAATTTTTAAGTGTAAATTTACATGCCTTTCTCTTGCATTTGGAGGAAAAACCTTTTTTAGTGCGTAAATTTGATTCCTGCACCCTAGCAATCATTTTCTTATAGCCATCACTTAAATTTTTTGTGTTTCCACAAAAGTTCGCTCAGTACTATCGCATAGAAAGGTACTTTTTGCTTCCAGCGATAACTAAAGCTAAATATGCCTGGTAGAGCAGCAACAGGGATGAAGGAGAAGGTATAGCTTTCTAAGGGGCACTGCAGTTATGAAGTCAATGAGTAAAAACTCTCATCGACACACCTACCAACTTACTTGAGTTCTATGAGCTCAGGCGATACTTGCCTTTACCAAGCTGCAGTAAAGCGTTCGAAAGTTGGTTGTAGGACATTGCTGTTGCGTAAAGTTTTTTCTGAGACTTTTTCTCGCGTCAGATGCCACGGGCTAGCCGTTCATCCAGACCGGAGCCAGTTTACCCATCTTTTTCTGTGTCGTATGAATTCCGATTTTAAGGAACGGATCAATGGGGTATAATTGACAGCTATCAGTGGAATAACATCACGCACATCTCCGCGGTGGGTAATCCAATATTATTTCTACGAAGAAGAGCGTAACAGAGGTCATTTTGCATGTGTCGCTTAGATTCTGAAGTCAGCCAACCGTGGGCATCCAGTTAAGTAATTCTAGCTTCTCCTCCTCCATTCCAGCGACAACGTCAACTGCCCGAGCTACGCTATAACGGAACCCATCTCCTATTCGCTTTCTTAAACGCTCTAAATTCGGCCAATAGCGAGCCAACAGCGTCGAAACTGTTCACAATTCTATCGTTAAAGAACCGTAAATGGTTCTTGACTGGCAAGATGGAGATGGTTGTGGCGAACAGATGCACCAGAGGAGCTTGCAGTTTAAACAGTCCCGGTTACAAACCGAGTCCCCGCGAGCGCTTGCACGTAGCGGTATAAAGCTGGCGGAGTCTTCAGAGCGTCCGCACTTTGCGTATCACGACCTGGCAAGACGGTTCAATTATCAACCATCGATCAATGACGACATGAATATTTCCATGACGTGATTTGTTACGTGAACTGTCATAAGAGTGAAATAGTGACGTAATTCGATCTTGAAAGTGAATTTATTTGCCTGGAAATGAAGGCGGTACGTAAATTTGGAAATAGGTTAGAGCGACGTTTGTTTTGATGCGCTTGGCCACAATTGAGGTCAAGAATTTCTCTTATGCAAATATTTCGTTGCCCGCAAACATGAAGCCTACTTGAGGCATTCAAGCCTTAATGATAGTGAAGTAAAACCAAAAGCTGAAACAGGAAATTTACTGTATTGTAAAGACCCATTTCCAATCCATTCATTTCGAATTCATTAGATATTTTATTAAAGCTCGTGAAACCTTCGATGGTTCTGGTTGACACTTGTTTCAACATTGCAAGGACTCGTTCGCTGAAATCGACTTGGAATTTTGACCATCGAGCTCTCAAAACTTCTAACTTTTAATTCATAAAAACAGATACTCAAATCCATTTGTATTTTAACCACACTTTTTGTTCTCACGATTTTATTTTTTTTGTCATGTTTGCGTAGAATCCAATTAACCTCTGTATTGAAAACCTAACGCCTCGAGAAAATTTTTGCAGCCTAAAACCTTCTCCAACTCCTGTTTCAAGTTTTGGCGTTGTTTCTTAGTTTGAAGACTAATAATTAATATTGAATAATGGTTAATAAATATTATTTAATGTCTTTACTGAGAATCAAGCTTAAGCCTTCATGTCGAGCAACGAGGAATTTTAAAATCAAAAGACAACATGAACAACAAATGAGTTTCATTTCAAACCAAACACTAAATTTCGAATTTTTGTACATAAATTAACAGTAGCCAAAATTTGAGTTAAAAAGTTACTAAATGACCTGATATAACCATAAAATAGGATATCTTTCCATAATGAAAAAACATTAATGGTATCATTAAAATATAAAGATTTTCAAATCAATTTTCTGTCATCATATTTAGTATTTCTATCAAATAACTATGTCATAAACAAAAAACGTAAGACTTCAGATAAAGGCAAAGATCATTGCGTAAATAAATGGAATAGTTTAAAGAATCTGCTAATGAATATCTTTGCAGCAGTTCATATCAATTTCAATAATTTCAGAATTTCTAACTTCTGCCGAAGTACTGAGTAAAACACTACGTTACTTCAAATCGTAAATATTCTTATAACGTCACTAAATTTATTGTAATAACTAAATTGTTGCATCATTGTAGCCTAATGTAAGAACTAAATTGTAGCCTCATTGTAGCATAGTGGAAGAACTAAATTATAGCATCGATTCAAAATGTAGCTAGGAAAACCTTGCTGCAAGCCTCGCTCGATCTATCAGCATGAGCCTGAGGTTGTTCTCATCATACATTTTGTCATGATTAATATTTCTTTTGCTACGGGCGATTGCCAATGGCAAATCTCGTATCGCCCCCGCGCGTGAGTGGTCGACCGGCATGACGATATTTTGGTTCTTCAGAGAATTGAAATTAAAAGTGGCTAGAAAAAAAATGGCGCTCAATACGAATGCTACCTGCCACTAGAGAGGCTTTTTTCTAGCGAAATTATTCAATTGAATCATTATTATGCATAGTGCAATTCACTATACATTTTTTGTCGTTGGTAACATGTTTGTTGCTTAATTTCCAGTAATTTTTAATTTTTCTGATACAAACAATTTCATCAATTATTTCGCAGTGATATATAAAAAATAAAAACATGTTGATTGTCGTAGAAGGAAATTTGAAATTGTGTGAATTCTATGGAAGGTCCCCAGTTCATAGCTATTTGCAACAGTATAACTGCTTTGTTGACTATATAAATATGTTATATATGCTATGCTTGCAACAATGAATGTCTCATTAACCGCCAGCGATTATGCTGGCTAAAAAGCTTAGGCTAAGACTAAAAATTGATTCGATGAACATAAGCCCGAATTTACCAACGATTTATCAGAAATTACTTGGATGAAAATTCGCATTTTGAAACAATCTAATGATTCCTTCATTTTGATTTCTAAATGCTATTGAGATTTAAATGCTTTGTTACTGGCGAGGATCGATTTGTAAATTTTGATGTCGCTTTCCAATAATGCAGAGTCTAGAAAGAACCAAACAAATTTATGGATTTTGTGTTCGCAATTTCGAAGAACGCCATAATATATCAAAAACTTACAAATGACCTTCGAATTTCTCAAATTTAAATTCAAAGCCAGAACAATGGGCTTTAAATTTCTCTTGAATACTTTTTTAGATTCATATAATAAATAATTGATTCATAATTAGGTTCTTATCATTAATAAATACATCATCATTGTTATACTTTTTTAAGTTCCAAAACAGTCGAGTAAATAGAGAACTCATTTAAAAGAAACTGCCAATACTTCAATCTATCGACATTATTAATGGCAGTGCTCTTTGAAAACAATCAGTGATTAAAAATAAAAATCTTGTTTTTCCGATTAGCTTCCATGCCATATGATGGTCTTTAAAATATTTTTTGTCATCCCATCCAACAAAAAAACAATCCCATCATGCATTAACAAACAATCCCATCATTCAAACAAAATAATATTTGTCAATCCCATCAATGACATCCCATCATGCATTAACATCCCATCATTGACATCCTATCATTGACATCATATCATTGACATCCCATCATTGACATCCCCCATCCTATCATTGTAACCGACCGACATCATGTGTCAATCCGACGTGTCAATGTGTCAACTCTTTCATAGGGGAAGAAGGTGGAAGAAAGTGTCCATTAGACTCTTCTTTCCCAGTCGCTTTTTTCTCAAGTTGATATCATCTATGTACTTCAATACAGGCAGCCCCCTTAGGCTATTCAATGCTCGGATGCAAGCTTAGCTTCCACTTATGCAAAAGGAGCTGGTCTTCTTTTAACGAACATACAATTTGATACATCAGATGGTATGACACACAATCTTGTATAATATGATGTCATGTCTGTTATTCAGAAGATCGTGGGTAAAATCTTCTGATATGATTGTATCTCTGATATTTATAGGATTTTATGTAAAATCTCTTAAATGTTTATATGGACGTTTTCCGATGAGGTTAAATGACATCTTTTTTAGGAGATTTAGTGAAATGGAAACAATACATCGACTAAGGTCAAGCGTTTTTTACGCCTTTGTAATAGAAAATTCTGTAAAGGCGATGGCAGAGCATGTAAGGAGTTGCCAATCATTTATTTCCCATAAATGGTTTCACTCGAGAAAAAAATTTTCAGGGCATTCGTGGACGTTATTTCAAAACGCAAGGATAAAATTTGGTCCTAGAAGTATAAATTATTTGTGGAATATTTCCCTACCGTCAAAATTCAAATCAGCATGGATTTCATCATCGGTTATTGCTGAGAGACGAAAGCCTTCATGGCCGTTTTCCATCTTCGATGTGTCCATTGTGATTTGGCAGTGAAATAAACTTCCCGAGTGATGTTAGATTTTCGATAATGGCTCACTGCCAGATTTACTGAGATTAATGCATTATTAATTGGAATTGATGCCTCATTCTAATTCATTCCTCTACAATTTTACGATATTGAGTCCTTATAACTCATATAATGACCACCAGAGAAATTTATTCTTTTATAGTTAACAGGAATTCTTTCTTCTTTGACTGCACTGTCATCTCACCAAACATGTGTCTAACTTTTCTTACTCACCGCAGGCGTGGTTATACGTGTGAGGCATATAGTAGATCACAGTAATGAGAATTTTGTCTTCTATGACTGCACTGTCATCTCATCAAACATGTATCTAACTTTTCTTGCTCACCGCAGGCGTGGTTATACGTGGGAGGCACAGCCCTGCTCTGCCATTTGCTCAGCCCGGTGTCCGGCTTCTTCAGTTTCAGTTCTGTCCTAGAAGTATAAATTATTTGTGGAATATTTCCCTACCGTCAAAATTCAAATCAGCATTGATTTCATCATCGGTTATTGCTTAGACGGAAGCCTTCATGGACGTTTTTCATCTTCGATGTGTCCTCGATGCTCTGGCAATTAAATTCAGAAGACCTGATCTACACAAACCCTGAGATTTAAAAAAACTTCTTGTGTAATGTTTTATTTCCGTTAATGCCCCACTGGCCAATTCATTGAGGTTGATGCAAAATTAATTGAAAATAGTTCCAGGATTCTTATTCGTTCCTCTACAATTTGACGATATTGGGTCCTTATAACTCATTTATTATAGTACCACCAGGGAAATTTATTCTTTAATAGACCACAGGAATGAGAATTCTGTCTTCTATGACTGCACTGTCATCTCACCAGACATGTATGTAACTTTTCTTGCCCACCGCAGGCGTGGTTATACGTGGGAGACATATAGTAGATCACAGGAATGAGAATTTTGCCTTCTTGAGTGCACTGTCATCTCACCAGACATGTGTCTAATTTTTCTTGCTCACCGCAGGCGTGGTTATACGTGGGAGGCACAGCCCTGCTCTGCCATTTGCTCAGCCCGGTGTCCGGCTTCTTCAGTTTCAGTTCCTCTTCCTCTTCGAAGCCCACGTCCAAGATAGCGAAAACCTCGAGCCCCAGCCGGGCCGGTAGCCTCTATGACGCAAGCTATGCTGAAGTAGGATACGGAGCTGTGGAAGACAGCGCATATCTTGGTGTCGATACGACGAATGTAGATCCCTACGAGGTTCTGGATTACTCTGGAAGTGCCTTTGCGTCGCCGGGAACAATCGACAGGCATTTCAGTAAGGGTTATTCTAAAGGATATGGGTATGATGATCATGATGATGGGTATGGACATGACCATGGTGGTTATGGACATGACCATGGTGGATACGGTCATGATGACTACGGAAAAGGAAAGGGCAAAGGGAACAAACATAAGAGCTGGTGGAAGAGTTGGACCTCTAAAGGAAAAGGGTATAAAAGTAAGGGCAAGGGGCACAAAGGAAAGAAAAGTTACGGGTATAAAAAGGGTACTTATAAGGAGATTTGTTATTTAGTGCCAGAGCACGACCACGGATATCATGATTCAGGATACCACAGGAGATAAGCCCTTTTTCATCGTCCACCTTTTATTGTGAAAACCCGATCTGACTGTCAAATGATGAATGAATTTTTTACGTGCTTATCTGATATGAAAATAACATTTTGTGATTTAAATTGGCATGATTAGTAACTCGATTGGTTATTCTTAAGGTCCATAAAACTGCTAATTATTTGGAAATTTTTTAAGATAAAATCGTTTTACATAAATGTAAAACAAATACCGTTTAATCTCCCCTAACCGTTGTAGAAATGGTATATGTTTTTCAACAAAAAACTGATGACAGTTTTTGTGCAAAATAATTAAAAAAATGTAAGTATGTAGGAGATGTTGGAAATACTACTTCGGTTTGTATTTTTCTTTATTGTGTTCCCGATTTGGGAATCTGACATATTAAATATTCTTCCCTATACGTGATGTTCCACCAAGTTCCTTTTCGAACTGATGTAGTTTTAGTGAAATTTGTTGTTTGCTTGTGAATGTGGCATGTGCGTTTCTAGCGACGTTAAGATTAGAATAAAGTCGATTATGTGTGCTGTTTTTTTTTTCCTACAGTAGGAAATTTAACGAATGATCAATAAAAATCAAAATAATTTTGATTTTAATAAGTAATTTTAGTATTTAATCTGCAAAATTTTTTCATTATTTCTCAACGTTCCTAAAATGAACTAATACCATTGAAGAAACATAACGACTAAATATTTTTGATAATTATGGTTTTAAGGCTAGAAACCGAGTAATGTAAATTCTAACTTGTTACTGCAGCCTGATTGGAAAAAGAGTTCTCGCAGAAGCTCTCACGTTACCGTTGTGGCCCTTGATTTTTTCTATTAAAATAGACTTTCGTGTTTCTATGCATTTTTTAGAGTAAATTGTGAAAATTTTATCACTCTTGATCCGAAATTCTTGTCTATATTAGCTGCAATCATATTTCATTAGTAAACGTTAAAAATAGTAAAATGGTAAAGAGTGAATGATAAATTGATTATAGTAATGTATGATTGCTTGAAATGACCGTGTTTTTAGTTAACCTATTGATTGGTGATAGTAGAAATAGCGAAAGGTAGCAATAGCAAAAGCAAAAAGTAGATAAATAGTTTTACCTATGCATGTGATTGGTATGCTCACTTTTAAAATTTTAGTTTCAATTGGTTCATTTTTTTACAAAATCAAAGTTGTGACCATTATGGGGAAAAATCAAAATGCGTTTAACAACTAAATTTTTTATGAATCATTAAAAATTAATCATTCTAATACATATAGGTATTCCACATCAGTAATAAGATATTGTTCTTTAATTGCAACTATGTATATGAGCTACAAATCTAACGTTCGAGATAAACAACACGCTTGAGCATGCACGCTGGTTTAAAAAAAAATTCTAGACATAATATTTGTCTGAGATATGCAAACAGTTTAGTTAACAACAAATTAAATGTTATATTTCATGTTATTAAATTCTTTTGAATTTTCATCCATCTAACACTCCCATTCATTATATTGTTAGAAAAATTTTTTGTTATAAGTTACCGCTCTTGTTAATAATTATATACTCTAACCGCTATACTCTCGTTTTATTATTTGATCACTTGAAAATCTGTAATGATCAAATTAACGAACACAAAATTCACATGTAAGACCACATTTACATATATTTTATCGTGTATCAGAATTAAATAAAATAACTTTTCAACATCCTCATATATTTTTTCCTTCACTATCCTATCTTGATGAAAATTTATAGTTTTGGCCCAAATTCAAAATAAGCGACCGCTGTTATGCAGTGAGAAATAAACAAGTTATTTACACAAATAGTGACTCACTTTTTGCGCATAGTACTGATACACTCTCTTGCCAATGCAAACTGGCAAAGGATGCCCCACTGAAGGCTGATAAATGCATCTATATTCAGACAATGTCTCACTCGTTTCTATGAGAGTGAGGGTCTGGCGGTAGGTGCGGGACGAAGAGGCGTAACGTCGGTGAATCATCGCCGAAACACCGGCGAAGTTTACACTCTCTTGTCCCTCCGACCAGAAAAAATTGAGATTTTGTCTAAATAGCGATGCACATTTTGCAGTTGTGTGGGTCATCCTGACCCAGTTTAGCCCGGCTAATAGACGTGTGGGTACAACGTTTGCTCCCTGCTCGTGCTGTAGGCCATAAAGTGCATCCCTATTTGGACAATAGGATTTTTCTGGAAATCCTATTGTTCAAATAGGACTTCCAGATTTTCTGGCGCCCACTTTACTCTACCGTCGTAATTCGCGTACGCTGCGAGCAAAAATTGCATGAAAATTTTCATACATTAAACTAGCACCAATATATGAATGAAAATCTTTTCTAACAATAATCAAAACAGACGGAAAATTCCGCTTGAGAACTTTTAAAACAACGCATAATTTAACAAATATTATTATTCAACTCACATTTGACAAGAATGAGGGCACTCACGATATGTAATCCGTGGCACCATAAAATATTATTATTAATTATTAATAATATTATTAATCATTATTAGCTCCATAGGGTGATTGTATCCATAGGGGGAGTATCGTAGGGGATTGTTTGACCATAATGAAGTCTGAGGTCAAAATCCAATATATGTTGTCACAAATTGCGTGCTATATCTACTAATTTGGCGAGCGATCACTGCGTAAGCCAGGGCGAATATATCCTATTTGTGTACTCAGTTATATGATACGTAGTGTTCTTCATAGTTTTGACGTTTACGCATTAACAAATCTGTTTTTTAATTCTATTCGCCTAATCTTACATTTTTTCAAGTGAAATGTTTTTTGATAAATAAATTGCGAATTAAAAATCTTACAGTGTTCTGTTAATTACTATTAATTTTCTAAATTGATGCTCTTCTCATTTATACGTACGTCTGAAATATTTTTCAGCAGAGGGGCACTATTTAGTGACTGAAGTTTGATGCTCCATATTGACACGTTAGTTTGCGGGTTCATGTCCCCCAGCTAGCTGTAAAATTTTGGCACTTTCTTTATTAGGAAGCAGGAGATATTTAGTCTCATCATCGCTCACACCGCAATAAATATAATTATTATCGAAAAAAAAATTGTGTTTCTGATCACGAAAAATGCTTGAGAATTCCGCGGAATTTTGTGAAAAAGAGAGCGGCTTCATAGAGAACTCAGCTCAAACTTTTTATATACATGACTATGACCGAAAAATTTCTAGCAGATCCGTAGAGTTTTTAGGTGGATGACTGATTATATTTGATAAAAAAAAATTTTTTTATCAAATTAAAATTCCCCGTTTTAAAATTCCTCAATGATAGTTTCACGAAAAGGGTGAATCATTGCTATTATTGATAGCGTATATTAGTACCAGAAAGTATTATTATCAAACGTATATATGTATGTGCACATATCGTACAGTAAGTAAAATCTTTCTTTGTTATCTTTTCTTCATCTTCTGAAAAGGAATTTAATTGTATGAACTCCATTGTTGAGATTTTCCTGTACTATATAGCGCCAGGACATCTTAGACGTATCCTTTGTTCGATCTAAATATTAAAATGACTAGATTGATTTTAAATCGCAAGTTTATCAGGAATTTAAAAGCAAAGAAAACAGCCAGAATATTAACCATGGCTGTTTTCTTTGCTTTTAAATTCTTGTTCGATCTACACTCAGAGTAATTAATGAGACTTTATCCTAATATCGATGCACTTTTGCCGTTACATTAGCCATCTTGACCCAGTTTGGCCGAGAAAGAAGATGTCATCAATAAATAAATAAAAATACACGTCAACAATAATACACGTCAATAAAAATACACGTCAACTACTGGTCCTAACCCCCACCTTCTCCCAATAATTAGATTTGCTTGACGTCGATATTCAAATAAATAATAAATAATAGTCTATTAATAAATAATAGTTTTCTAAATAATAGTCTATTGCTCAATATGTTTAAGCATTCATGAAAATTTAATATCTTAATTACACTAAATCGTTTCTTTGACATAAAAGTTTGTCAAAGAGATGCAACTGCCCAGCAACAGTTTCGAAAACTATACCCATCCATAACACATTAACAAATCTGTGTATTAATTCTATTCGCTAAATCTTACATTTTTTCAAGTGTTTAAACAAACTAATAATGCAAATGATTATCAATTAGTCTTAGTAGTATCTATAACAATGACTAACTATCGTCTAACTGATTATATCTCCGCTTCAGATTAACTCATTTTAATTGTAATTCTTTGTTTTTTTTTATATTGAAAACGTTCTAGTGAGAAATATACATAATAAAATTTAATAAAAAAATAAATAATAATAGCAAAAATAGTAATAAAAATATAATAAATTAAAAATAATAAAATAATAAAAATTATAATAGATTAATTCAAAGCGGAGATTACAAAGTTGGTGACACTATTATAGGACATCCTGTACATATAATTATCAATATATCGTAGCAAGAAGTCCTTCGATAAGCTCGCATTTGGATACTGTGAATGATTAATCGGCAATTAAAGGCAATTAATTTAATCGATTAATTAATTAAAGGCAATTAATCGATCTAAAGTTAATCTTATATATAATTTTTTACTTTGGTTCAGAATATTAGCTTATTATTGTGAAATGCAGGTGAATCCTGTGTGCGCTTAATATTCCTTTTGAATTTTGGTTTTGCCTGAATTATTGTCATCAAGTAATTTTTATGTACTATTATGACAATGGTTTGAAAAACAATAAATGACTCTGAAATAACAAATGACTTCAGTGTTCTAAATAACAAAGCCTTTTGGTTGTAGACTTCAATATTAATAAATAATACAATTAATAATACATTAATTTGCTTTTAAAATAAATAAGAATCAGACCAATTTTGATTTGTTGCAATACAAACCGTTTGTCCTTATCAGCAACACCAATATTAGAACCACGACTTGCCTGCCTTCATCGTCCACATCAGTGACACCAATATCAGAACCACGACTTGCCTGCCTTCATCGTCCACATCAGTGACACCATATCAGAACCACGACTTGTCTGCCTTCATCGTTTTCATCAGTGACACCAATATCAGAACCACGACTTGTCTAATATCAGAACCACGACTTGTCTGCCTTAATCGCCCTCATCAGTGACACCAATATCAGAACCACGACTTGTCCAATATCAGAACCACGACTTGTCTTCAGTGACACCAATATCAGAACCATGACTTGTCTAATATCAGAACCGCGACTTGTCTAACATCAGAACCACGACTTGTCTGCGTTCATTACGCACCATCGCGATGCAGATCTCCGAGCCGGCATCGCAGGCTGTAGACTTTCTCCCGTCATATGCCAGTCGTCAGAGTTAATCCCAATCCTGGGCTCAAAAATGCGACGACTTTCTTCTTGCTGCGCCGTGACATATGGTCGAGCTGGGCTACATAAGACGCCTTCAATTGACATTTTTATATAAAAATAAAAATACATTACACATAAAAATTAAGAGTGAATGTGTAGAGGAATTATGCATAGATACAAGAATTGTGAGTGAATGTGATGAATAATTCTGCATATATACATGAATTATGAGTGAATGTGATGAGTAATTAGGCATAGATACATGAATTGAATGATCAATTTGGTTGTTAGTGTTAAGTTAGTGTGCTTGGATAAGGTAAATAGTGCTCTCGATGTTATGAAATAAATCTTATGCCGTGAAATTAAAAGGTTACTAGTTTAAATTAGTTATCTTGGGGAAATTGAAAGATCGAAGTCTGTTAAAGAAATGTTGCGATTTGGAAAGAAATTTTATGGAAGAAAGAAAGGGAATCTTTCATTTCCTTTATTTATTGTGTGTTGGATTCTAATAGATAAGTTATGACATAATGAAATGAAATAGAATAATAAAATAGTAAGAACCCTTGTTGTTTACATATTCCTAAACCGTAGAACAGACTAATAATAGATAAAAACTTAAAGCTCACTATTTCGCACGACACTCCTTAACCCACTTTAAATCTTAATTGTTTAAAATCACGTCGTTAATTTCATTTAATTCAGAAGCCTTCTGACAATTCATCCACATCTGATATAGTAATTTATACGCACGCCTGAATAATATAATTCATCATTAAAGAGAACATACCCGCTAACTGGAACTCTGTTCAAATGTTTTTAGTTGTGTCCATTTCCTCAATCCCGGCCGCTTTCTCGCGATCAAGCAGCAAATCCCGGCATTAATCCTTTAAACGGAAGAAAATCTGCGTTTCATGCTACGCCGTTTCACTGAAACGTCACGGTGCTCGGCAGCACAAATACAAGGCACGGTATAAAACTGATCCCAACCTCTCTCTTGCTACTCATTCAGACTCACAGTGGCAGGACGGGATGTCATTTCCCTCTAGACATCTTACGTTGAAATAACGTTGTTGAAATCACGTTAAATAAACGTTGAAATACCGTTGAATATAAGTTGAAATAACGTTAATAATAAGTTTAAATAATGCTGATGAAAAATTGAAATTATGTTGATTAAACATTGAAATAACGTTGATTAGACATTGTAATAATGTTGATTTAACGTTGAAATAACCTTTATTATTCGTTGTTAAAATGTAAACACTTCGTACTCATCGCTGTTTTGACGTTATTTCCCACAAAGAAATTGCTTCTCCATGGAACAACAGTTTACTTCTAGACGGGATGAGATTTTGTTTGTTAATGATTTTTTAAGTTAACGATAAAAATTTCATAATTGGGATTAAGAGGTTTCATTAGTGAAATATTACTTTAACCGATAGATTATATTTATTTTAGATTCAGGTTGGATTCAGATTTAGAATGAGATTCTTTTATTACTGTTTGATTATTACCTGAAATTCGAGGAGGAAGTCTGTACATTAGAAAAGGTCTTCCAGCGTATGTGATCTAACACCGTGCTTTCCGTAACCCAGTAAACGGTCGTTCCGTAAAAGCTTTCCCGTGAAGTTCAATAAGCTTTCCGTAACGATCATACATCTTCATTAAACAGCTACACTATAGGCCGTGCATGTTGGAGTTTTTTCTTGCTAATGTAGACGAGTATGATAAAATATTTTGTTATGGAATCATTTTAAGTAGACCTACGTACCATCGCACTATAATGATGCTGGACGAACAATCGTTTAATGCTTATATTTTGCAAATGAAAAGTACGTGGCATATGATCATTGGTATAATTTGTGTGATGCAATTGTGTAATTTTCATGCATGATATCTCATCGATATAGAGAAATTTTTCAACACCGAATGCACTTTATCACACAAAATTATAACCTCTTTTTGTCCCAGTTTTTGAATTACTTAAACGAATTGTGATCTGACGCATTTATTCAAAATGAGATAAACTCTTATATAAAATTTGCTCATCTTTATTAACCGGCATTCTGAGTGAGCTACTGATGCCTGCGATTAAATAATTATGCATGCAAATCATATAAAGAAAAAACACACGGATTTTAATGCGTACTTCGACGTACGTCGTGAACCTGAACTTTCATGTTAGTGATTTAAAGACATGGCTTCCAAACCGAAATTTATTGTAGCATTACTTTCTTCAATTCATGGCATAAAGTAAATAAATCAACCATTCATAGTTTATTCGCGTGGTTTCTATCATTTTATTATGAAAACCAGCCAAACCAAAATACTTTTTTTTTAAGGTTTTTCATAAGAAGATAAGCTTTGATATAAGATAAGCATGCAATGTAATCGAAACACCACGAACATTCTATCGTTCGAGGTGCTTCAATCTCTTTTAAGTTACAGACTCATTTAATTGATGCTTTCTATTTTAAATAAACCTGTTTAATTGATACTTTTTATTTTAAATAAACTAATAAATTTTAATTGATCAAACGAAGCCCTACAATATTTATGCGTGTTAGACACACATTTATTTAAACTCTTAGGTATAACCCAACAATGACTCGTTTTAGTCATTATCTTGCATGTTATCTTAAACTACGAATATTTGAGAGGAAAAAGATAATTTGGAAAATCACTACCGGTACCGTAAATATAGGCAAACTATTAATGAAAATATGAAAGGATAAAATTAATAAATTAAGTTTATTAGCATTAAAATGATTGAGGAGTTATTGATGGTTAATTAGAATCTTTTTTTTTTTATTTCGAGGTTCACGTTGAACATTTTCATTCTTAATATTTAAATGCTTAAGGTAATATCTCAATAATTTCACACCCTTTTTTCAGGGAACATTTTTAAGTTCTGTAGACTGAATTTGCGAGCACCAAGACGTCATGAAGGTGGTGAGTGCAGGACCAGCAAACATATCGACATTAAATATGACAGAAGCCGATTTAAAAAGTTATAAAGTTGTAAAATTCTTAACATTTATTCAAAAGGCAGCCAAACTCTATCTGATAAAGCTTGTAATTGATATTCAAAAAACCACGATGATCGAAGAAATTAAATATTTTTCAGTAATAAATGGTTTTATTTGTTGTTATAGTGTTGGATTAATTTATGGTGTAAAATGACAACCGTATATTTATGGTCCGGTTTGTGCAGGTTGTTTTATTACTGGTTGGAGTCGCGGGCTGTCAGGCGGCCGCTGGTTTCTTCGACGGTTTCGGAGGTGGTAAGGACAAAGGCAAAGGAGAGTCGCCTAAACACGTCTACTACGTTGTCCACAACCCAATTTACGTACAACAGAAACCAAAGGCTTACGGCCACGGTGGCGGTGGATACGGCCACGGCGGTGGTGGATACGGAGGACACGGTGGCGGGGGCTACGGTCACGGCGGTGGTGGGTACGGAGGTGGACATTTCATCACTTACGAAACAGCCGGTGGCTACGGACACCACGATACCGGTTACCATCGAAGTGACAATCTGGACGAATACGAACAAACTCATGAAGTGCCGCATGTGCCGAAGGAGCGAACCTCAGGATACGGTGACGATGTCGTAAAAAAGGCAGCGGAGTACGAGTACATCGGCGGCCACAGCGGTGCTTTCCACGTCATGGATTATGGCGGCGACAAGGGCAAAAATGGCAGGAAATAAATGTTTTTTCACTGATATTATCATAATTTATGTTAGGGTATCAACAAACGTTGCTAAGTTTGTAACTACTTTATTGACAGAATTAGGGATGACTTCAGATCGATCAACACTGTTTTTTATCGGATTTATGCTGCTAAGACCTCCGTCTTTATAGTATGGCTCATTAACATAATATGGTTGTAAGTCGATATGGAAAATTATGTAATTAGGTCTGAACTTCAGGAAGTTATCTATTAAACGAATTTATGAATAACTTAATTACCAGATTTTAAACTTTAGATATAACAATATTTTTCCGTTCAGTACAATTCTAACATAAATGAAAAACACTTTTTTAACCCCTTAACGTATTATTATGCAATATACTTCATCAAATAATTATGATTTCCTGTGAATTAAACTCCTCTGCAGTGTTCTTCGTTACCTTTGCTCTCGATTATTTACTCAGCTTTTAAGAGCAACTAATTCATTTCATAATGCAAAAATATCAACCAATTTCAACTCTAACAAACAAGCAACCTATTCCGCATGAATTTAATGACAAGTTGTTTGTAGTTGGAATGTTCGGTTAGTGAACATATTATGCTGCGTCATCGAATTCAGAAGCATTTATAAGCGAAACTCTGAATCGGCTTTTCATTTAAAAAAATGTATTTTAAATATCTTCATGAATATTCAATGTTCAATCAGTTATAATAATGTTTGAGACTAATTTTCAAATTTCTTTAGGTTAGGTTTTATTTTCCAAAATAGTCAAAGGTCTCAGTAGAGTCAAGTCTTAATTACAAGCCTATTTACTCATATTTTTTTTAATTTTTCTTGCAAAAATTTTAAGATATAAAAATCTAATAGAGAGCTTTTTTACTCGTCCCTTCTTCTTACTAAAGGATTTGAATAAATTAAAATTTAATGAAGGACTCTTGTCACTCGCACCTTTTTCTTACAAAAAATTTGAAGAAATAAAAATCTAACTGAGGGCTCTACTTACTCGTACGTTTTTGCCTACAAGAGATTTTAAGAAATAAAAATGTAATGTAGGGCCCTTTTTACTCGTACCTTTTCGCCTACAAGAGATTTGAAGAAATAAAAATCTAATGGAGGGCCCATTTTACTCGTACCTTTTCCTTACAAAAGATTTGCAGAAATAAAAATTTAATGGAGGGCCCTTTTTACTCGTACCAATTTTCCTTACAAAAGATTTGAAGAAATAAAAATCTAATGGAGGGCCCTTTTTACTCGTACCAATTTTCCTTCCAAAAGATTTGAAGAAATAAAAATCTAATGGAGGGCCCTTTTTATAAAATCTGATGGAAGAAGATTTTATTTCTTTTATTTATTTTATTTGAAGAAACAAAAATCTGATGGAAGAAGATTTTAATTCTTTTATTTATTTTATTTGTAGAAATTAAAATCTGATGGAAGAAGATTTTATTTCTTTTATTTATTTTATTTGAAGAAATAAAAATCTGATGGAAGAAGATTTCATTTCCTTTATTTATTTTATTTGAAGAAAAAAAATCTTATGGAAGAAAATTTAATTTCTTTTATTTATTTTATTTGTAGAAATTAAAATCAGATGGAAGAAGATTTTATTTCTTTTATTTATTTTATTTGAAGAAATAAAAATCTGATGGCGAGCAAAACGATCTTTCAAACCTCTGAAGTTCGTAGCAAACCCGCCTCATGTCAGCGCAGTGTCCCGCAAGACTCGTCGGCTGGACTTTATATTATTATATAATATTATAGTTATAGTTGCTTTATATTATTATATAATATTATAGTTATAGTTGCTTTATATTATTATATGGTCCAGAGAAGCGTTACTAGTTTGCTGTATTTGACATGCCGGCGAGAAGTCCACCAGACATATGCCGTTGAATCAACGTTGAATTAAGCGTAGTTTTGTTGAATCGATGTTGATTCAACATTTTTTCCATTTTTTCCTTTTTGATCTCTCGGAACAGACTTCTTACGGAGCTCAACCAACGAAAATTATTCGTATAACCATTGGAGTGGAGAATTTGTTATGTGACGTCCATTAAATCTGCGGACAGCATATACTAGACATTTCCCTAGTCTGTTTTCTTCCAACAAGTATAATAATTATATCATATTGGTGTCGCTAGATCGATGAAGTTATCATAAAATATTGATATTTTCATCAAAGAGAGCTGTAAATTATTTTAAATTTACAATAATTCATACATGTACAAAAATTTTTATAATGGATCGCCTTTTATTTCAGTCGACTGCTAAAAAATATAAGCCTGTAAAATGGATCATATTTCTGCAGGACTAATAAAAATAAATAAATTGCCCTTCGTTATGTCATAGCTACTATTGTGAAAGCGCAATCTTGCAGTGAATATTCTACCAAACAAAATATAAGAAATATGAAATAGTTTTTAACTTCTATTTTCTATCATTTGTAGCCCTTACGTTTAGTTGCAAAAGTTAATTCTTCATACACATTTTTTCATACCTTAAGCAATGAATATTATTCTCAAGTCATGATTACGATTCCCGTCGAGAGTTACAGAGTCTGGCTGGCCGTCGATGCGGACGTTTTCAAGTGGTCAGGGAAAGTAGCTCGGAAATTCATTTGGTCTTGTTGTACAGCTTACTTAACTTAAATTAATTTTGACATACATAACTTACTTTAACTTACTTAATTTACTTTAACCTGCTTAACTTACTTTAACTTACTTAACTTATTTAACTTACTTCAACTTACTTACTTACCTAACTAACTTACTTACTCTGCCTTACTTAATTTAACATAAATTATGATTTATTGCTCAGAAAATTTCTCCGGCGATGTTGGTTTAGTACTTGACACTGAATTTAGAAGAAAAATTACGCTTCAACACTCAATTAAACCTTGCATCTACTGGATTGTACATCATATCGACGTGTCTTTTAAATTTATCGAGCGCGTTATTTTTAAATTTAACACTTGCGCTAACTCACACATAAGGGCATTGCAATCATATTTATTTAAATTTATGTGATTTTTTTAAAGATTGAAAAAACTATCAAACTAAAAGAAATTAGTGTTGCTTTACTTAACATCATTTAGTTGGAAATGATAAATGTTGGTGAGACAGCTTTATTATTTTGCTAGAAGGAATATTATAATAGTATAATAACAAATAAAATTGAATGACCCAAAGCGTGATTATATCGACGGAACTGGAAGATCCTATATTGATCGAGAATTTTTGCCCAGAATGCGGCAAGCGAGATCTCAATATTTTATTCTGAATATATTGATATTGCGAAGACCGACATCGTATCCATACAAAATTGAACAAAACAATATTAACAGAAAAAGGAACGTTTAAATTTACTGAGCATAGGTTATAACCCTAAAGTCCCAAGATCTAGTAATTTGAATCCTTATTTTTTACAATTTTAGGGTATTATGAACTATAAGTGTAGACAAAGACAAAGTTTGATTCTAGACGTATGCTAGGCGTAAAACCGAACCACCGGAGCTGCTGGAAACAAACATTTTTTTTTAAATCTCTTGCGTACACAAGTACGCTACACTTTTCGGAGTGAAAGTGCAAAGCTTATTGTATACATGGTTATTGTGGCGGCACCCGATTTACTGTATACTTGCCATTAGGAGTCCTATAACGCGCAGTTTCTAGTGATTTAAATTGATTTGTCCGTTGTCACTAACTCAACTTATTACCTCCTGCTGGTATGTCATACGCTATTGTCAGCAATCGGAACCATGTGAGTCATATTCTTGAAAACTTGAATAGCTATTATTTTCTGATGGTCTATCGCCTAAATCGCTACAATGGTAATTTGTCATTGCTATATGTAGAATATTGTGCCTGTTTGTATTAATTTTGTCGTTTCAGTTTACAAGTTGTAAATAAATGGGAAGTAGCACTCGTGTTCATTTTTCGAAACTTTTTTATCTGCCCGAACAATGAACAGCTCGCTCTCAAAAATTATCCCTTGGCGTTTGCTTTGCCTCGAAATTCTTTTATGTTAAATCATTTAAAAATTCTGATTTTTAAATACTTCCAAAATTTTTCACATAGGAAGTTAACAAACTACCTATAATAGCTGCTTAGGATTTTTATCGATTAAACCGTGAGCGAATGATTGCAAATTTAGGCAACTATTAACGGATACACCAAAAAATCACTAAAATAATTTAGTCAAAAAGTTTTTCCCACTCACAATCTTATGACATACCGTACTCTATAAACAAGTTTATTGTTGGTATCATGGGTATTGGACGACCGTGTATTTCGTGGCGACGTCCAAGGAATAATTTTTATGTGCATTTTCAATCAGATTTTTCAGTGAAATTTCTTTTATTATTTTTATCCTTCAAACTATTAGTTCAGGAATATGTGCATTGGTTACAATTTTATTTTATATCATGAGAATCATTTTATATCATCGAATATCTTTTATCGTAGGAAATATGATCTTATTAGCCATCAGCTTCGAAAACGCGTTAACATCAAACCGGTTTAACCTGCCCAAGTCCACTTCTGTTTGGAATTACTAATTACATATACATATACATAATTACATATACTCACAATATTTTTTATTGAATTACTCATAGCTCAGTTATTTTTAAATCATTTACAGTTCCTACAAATTTATTGAAATGACATAGAAACACGTTTAGTCGCAACTGAATGCAGTTATAACAGGCCAATTACGCGTAATATTGCTAAGGTTTTAATTGTTCTCCTTTTAAGAGAATTATCATATTACAATTATACTACATTTACTGTACTTCAACAATTCACAAGCTCTACGGTGACGCCCCGTGTCCTTGAGTAACATTTATTCTAAATATACATTTCCTTTATCACTTATTTTTTAAGAATTCAATGCTCATTATGCTTTGAATGGCGCTGTCGTCGATGCATTCACTATACTANTTTATTGAATTACTCATAGCTCAGTTATTTTTAAATCATTTACAGTTCCTACAAATTTATTGAAATGACATAGAAACACGTTTAGTCGCAACTGAATGCAGTTATAACAGGCCAATTACGCGTAATATTGCTAAGGTTTTAATTGTTCTCCTTTTAAGAGAATTATCATATTACAATTATACTACATTTACTGTACTTCAACAATTCACAAGCTCTACGGTGACGCCCCGTGTCCTTGAGTAACATTTATTCTAAATATACATTTCCTTTATCACTTATTTTTTAAGAATTCAATGCTCATTATGCTTTGAATGGCGCTGTCGTCGATGCATTCACTATACTACTTCATTATACTCGCTAATTAACGTCAAAGAGAAATGTTATTATCGGCTGTGCACTCACGAAGCACTGCGATACTAGGTATAAGTTCTTATTACCTTCTCTGCTTATTAGCATCTCTGCTTATTATCATCTCTTCTTATTACCATCTTTTCTTATTATCTTATCTTCTTATTACCATCTCTTCTTATTACCATCTCTTCTTATTACCCTCTCTTCTTATTACCATNATTTAATAAGTTCAATGGGAAGTGATGACGTCTTCAACATGCCATGGATGAAGTTACATTTATAATATACACGTGGGAGTTATGATGAAACCAAAATGCACCTAATAAGAATTCTCTCAATGCAATCCAACATTTCCAATTCATATATATCACGAGCGACAAAATAGCGCTACATTTTTC